GACAGCCACTTTGCTTTCTTGCATTGCCTTTTCTTTGGGATGCTTTTTGTTGCTGCTTCCTGTACAATGTTACGAGCCTCCATCCATAGTTCTTCGGGCACTCTGTCCACCAAATCTGTTCTTCATTTCCACTGTGTATTCATAAGGAATTTGGTTTAGATTATACCTGACTAGCCCAGTGGTTTTTCCTACTTTCTTCAGTTTAAGCTTGAATTTTGCTACAAGCAACTGATGATCAGAGCCACAATCAGCTCCAGGTCTTGCTTTTGCTGACTGTATGGAGCTTTTCCATCTTTGGGTGCAGAGAACATAATCAATCTGATTTCGGTACTGCCCATCTGGTGATGTCCATATGTACAGTCGCCTCTTGTGTTGTTGGAAAAGAGTGTTTGTGATGACTAGCTTGTTCTCTTGACAAAACTCTATTAGCCTTTACCCTGTTTTGTTTTGAACTCCAAGGCCAAACTTACCTGTTGTTCCTTTTATCTCTTGACTCCCTACTTTAGCATTCCAATCCCTTATAATGAGAAGAACATCTTTCTTTTGTGTCTGTTCTAGAAGGTGGTGTAAGTCTTCACAGAACTGGTCAATTTCAGCATTGGTGGTTGGTGCATAAACTTGGATTACTGTGATGCTGAAAGGTCTGCCTTGGATTCATATTGAAATCATTCTATCATTTTTGAGATTGTATCCCAGTACAGCTTTTCCCAATATTTTGTGGAGAGCTCTGAGTGGAGAGTTCTGACTAAACTCGATCCACCTGGAGCAGGAACTGGCAAGCCACTCCAGTATCTTTGCCAAGAAAACCCCATGGACAGAAACAAAAGGCTAAAAGATATGATGCTGGAAGATGAGCCCCTCAGGTCGGAAGGCGTTCAACACCCTACTGAGGAAGAGGAGGACAAGTACAAGTAGCTCCAGAGCTAATAAAGTGGTTGGGACAAAGCCGAAAGAATGCTCAGCTGCAGACATGCCTGGAAGTGAAAGGAAAGTCCAATGCTGCAAAGAAAAATACTGCATAAGAACTTGGAATGTAAAATCTATGAACCTTGATAAGCTGGATGTGGTCAAATAGGAGATGGCAAGAATAAACATTGACATCCTGGGCATCAGTAAACTAAAATGGACGGCAAATTCAATTCAGACAATTATATCTTCTATTGTGAGCAAGAATCCCATAGAAGAAATGGAGAAGCCCTCATAGTCAACAAAAGAGTGGGAAAAGCAGGTCAATACTATACAGAATTTAGAATATTTTTAGTATGCTTATTTTTGTATTTGGTGAAAACTATTCTTAATATTACTCTCAAATCACTAACAAGGCAGGTAGGAACAAGACAAAATAAATTATTTTCTAAATGCTAATGGTATCCCAAGAGCTGTATCTAGTCTAGCAGACTCAACAACTATGCAATTAAGCAGCTCTTAAATTTGACTGGATTCTTCTCTTATAGGGCTTCATCTGTTACTAACTGGCTGATCATAAGTTGTGGAATTATGAATGTTCAACAGAACCCATACCTTGTCCTATAAGAAATGTACAGTACAGCACCTGTAATGCATTGACAACTCTGATGGGATGCTCCTCTCCCAATGCCCGGATGCAGCGCTGGAACAGACAGTTAATGTTATCTTTTATCTTCATTAATTCTTCACCATCTAGAGACTCCAGTTTTCCTTCCAAATATTCTAAATTCACCTATGAGAGAAAGAGGAGAAGTAAATTCACAGAGCTACAGGGGTCATGACTAAAAGCTGGGAATTGTTGCACAGGAGACTAAACGTGAAGAGACCAGAAGAACAAGGATGTTTTGATTTTTGGTACATTACCTTCATGAGGAAGAGTTCCTCCCAAAATCGAGGGTTGCACTTACTGGGATCTTCTGACTAAAAGAGAAAAAGAATCCTCGTTATGAAGGACATTGGATTAAATATGAAATAGGACTGGTCTTAGAGTACCATTTTAGCTATGTTAATCTAGGAAAACTGACCATCTTGAAGAGAGTTGAATGCATTTTAGTCTGGTATCTCAGGTTTGACAATTTTGCTTACTAGAAGCCTGCATAAAAAGGAAAGTCTCCATGTGACAGGAGAAAGACAACAGGGAGCAGGGTCTATGTGGTCTCTTATAGAAGAGAATGTGACTGCCTTGCAGTAGTCAGTGAAAAGAGCACCTGTTGTGCTTTCACCAAACATGCCTGTGAGAGCAGTGAACCCAAGGCAAAGGCATCCCCAGAAGATCTTAAAAACCAAGGAAGCTCATTTGGGGAGATACAGTCCTTTAGATCAGTGGTTCTTAACCTTTGTTACTCAGATGCTTTTGAACTGCAACTCCCAGAAACCCCAGTCAGGACAGCTGGTGGTGAAGGTTTCTGGGAGTTGCAGTCCAAAACACCTGAGTAACCCAAGGTTAAGAACGAGTGCTTTAGATATCCTAAACCCATAGGTTTTAGCATTTTATAGATCAAAAACAGCACACCAAATTGGACCTGGAAACAAGCTGGTAGATAGTGAAGCTGTTTTAAGAAGGAATTTCTATTCTTCCTGTAATCAGCTACAATAAGGAATCTAGCTGCAGCATCCTGGACCCACTGCATTTTCTGAACACTTTTCAAAGGCAGCATTATGTAGAACACATTACAATAATCCAAACAGGGTACAGCTAAGGCATGTGTCAGTGTGGCCAAATGAGGCTTCTTCGGGAATGAGATAACTAATGTACTAGTATTAATTGTGGAAACCCATGCCTAGCCCGGGAATGAGCATAACTAATGTACTAGTAGTATTAATTGTGGAAACCCATGCCTAGCCACAGCTGAACTCAAAGATGAATCTAGGAACATGCCCCAACTGTAGACCCGAGCTGTCAAAAGGAATGTAGCTCCATCCAATATAGGTTGGATCCCTGTTCACTGATCTGCCTTTTAACTAACCGTGAGCACTTCTCTCTTGCCTGGATTAACCTTCAGTTTGTGCATTTTCATCCAGGCCATTACTGACACCAGACACGAGTTAAGTATCAAAGCAACTTGCCTGAGATTGGATGAAGAAGTTCAGTGGTCCCAAACCCTAGAACTCTAGAGAGGTATCCACCACTTGCTATAAAGCAAGAGCACAGATAAACATGCAATACTTAACAATTCTAAGGCAGCCTAATTTGCCTGTGATATTCCTCAGCAGAATGAAATTCTTTGAAAGCAGAGCAAGAAACCACAATGAAAAGAAGAAAATTTCATATCCTACCATGAATATCTCATCATACATCAGCACAACCTTCTCTTTCAATGGCTTTTTACTAGCTGAAGACTTCCGAAGCAATCCTCCTTTCTTCTCAGTCTGTGCCATGATTTGCAACCTAAGGGTTAAGAAACACATCACAGTTGAAAGATCTCTCAAAGTAAACTTCAAAGATTTCATATGAAGCCCTATTTATATAAAATATTGTACATATTCATATAAAAGTATAGTACAAATGAGCCACATGCACCTATGAACAATGTGCATATCATACATAATACACTCAGAAAAGCCAGGATAAACCATAGTTCTTCACATGGAAAATGCATTTCAGACAGCATGTCAAATATGAAATAGGAAAAGCAGCCTAACCAGGCCTACACTCTAGCGTTAGTGAACTGCTCCATTTCTTTTTACATAAAAATGTTAATAAAAATCACACTGCCCCACTCACACCTCACCATCAAGCCTACACACAATCTGCAAAGTCTCTACTTCTTTGGATTAGCTTCTTCTTCACTCTTACTGAGAGCAGTGTCTAAGCAGACCTGGGCAAAATGCGGCCCTCCAGATGTTGCTGAACTGCAACTCCCAGCAATTCTAGCCCACACAACCAATATTGAGGATTGCTGGGAGGTGCAGTTCAACAACATCTGTAGGGCCACATTTTGCCCAGGTCTGGTCTAAAGCAAGAATGAAGAACCTTTTGGCCATCCAGATATTTTGGGCCAGCTCCCAGAAAACCGAGCCAGTATGGCCAAAATAATAAACTATCGGACTTGCAGTCCAAAAAAACAGTGTGAAACATTTCCCACCCTGATCAAAATCAACAACCATCTGTTTTAATTCATACTAAAGCAGAAAAAAATAAGACTGTCAACCAATTCAAGTAGAAGTGAACAAATATGTCAGCCCATAGACAATGTTTAGAGAGCTTTGGAATTCAGTCAACAACATAACACACAGAATGTGTTTACAACAAAAAGGAAGCACCACAGTAATTCCCCTATAGGAGGATGCTCAGTGCCTTACAGAGATCAATCACAAATTATCACACAATAAGATATATTTTCTGCAAATAGCAAACCTAAAAAATTGGTTCATAAAGCTGGACCATGCTACTGTAAAGCAGTCCGGCCCAAGAAACAAACTGCAGAAGAAAACTTCAGGGGAACAGTTGTGTTAATCAGCTGCAGCAAATACAACCAAAGGTCTTGTGATACCTCCAAGACAAACAACTGCTTTCATACGGTATAGTCCATGAAAGCTTAGGCCACAGAAATTGTGTCTTCGGTTAAAAAAAATAAGACATTGCTAACTTGGAAAAAGAATGTCCAAGATAGGCAGTTCTCTGTAGCAATAATGCAAAACATGGCTGTAACATAATACAATTAACCAATATTCTACAATGTTCTGCCTGACAGCTTTCTAGTAACTGGAAAAGAATTTAAGTTCATGACATGAAAAACACTAGGTGACATACCCTAGCTTCTGAAAACTTTCTTATTTTCCTTCCTTTACATAAAGGAAATAAGACTTTTAAACCAGAAAAACAAATTGAAATGAGAAATATTTTATACATATATATTGATCTGAAAAAAGGGGGAAGGAGAGATTAAAGCTAGAATCTGTCAATTTCCTTCATTTAGCAGAAGCAAAATCTTTAGACAGCTGCAATAGCACAAAGCTTGTACTAATCTACTCATGGTACTACAACTAGATCATAGTGAATTAAAGCAAATAAAACAATATGCCATGAATCCAAGTTAATGTTCTTACATAAAATTTAGAGTATATTTTCCTTGTATATCTGCAACTTGGAGCAAAGCAGGAGATTTCAGCACTTTTGTTGCATTCTCAAGAAGGAAAAAGCTTATAGGCTCCTTTGTAATCTATAGTGAGATAACATGATCATGCAAACATGGTGATATTTTCAGCAAAACTAAAATTAAGACACATTACTAAAACTGGACAAAGTGGACATGCAAAAGCAAAATTGCTAGAAGGACCAGTAAAAACAATGTAATTGTGCTTGTAGGTCCTTACACTAATCTGAAATAACACACTGAAGGATAATAACAAAAAGCCCTAATATCCTCTCCGAAACTTCAAAAGCTTCTTTGGTATTGGACACTAAAGAAATAAACGGCACTAAGTGATTTTTATTCACTCCAGCTTTACATGCATGCTTATGAGAGGAACTGCAGAAATAAATTGTTTAACAGAGCTTTTCAACAAGGTTTTCATGCATATCTAGCAGTACCAGACCCCGGGGAGGTGGGGCTCATCAGCCTGGGAAGACAGCCCATCTAGAAGGAAAACACCAATTCCAAATCTCCACTGCCTTGTGGCTATATCCACTGATGGAAAAGGCTTCAGGAGATAACCCTGAGGCAAAATCCAGAGCCGGAGTCCCGGAGGCAGTTCGTGTCATTCTGCCAACTCCTGTGACATCGCTGGAACCAGTTGTATTGGCTCTTGCCTTTCCATTGGACTATTTCAGTGATGTGGAGAGATGGGGATTCCCATCTTACAGAATCATCTAATTAATTAATTGTTATAAATTTTTTAGAACTTGTTATCATTTGTTGTAAGCCGCCTAGAGTGGTCGAAATGACTAGATAGGCGGGGTATAAATACAATAAATAAATAAATAAATAAATATTTCAGCAATGTGGAGAGGAGGGATTTGCTGCTTGGGTAAAAACACCCTATCCTCCATATTATTTTACCCAGGCTTCCTACTCTGGAGAGGACACTCCAGCTTCGCATACAGGGTCAAAGTCCTCCATACAGAGCATGTTACCATCATCTCTTGAGACTGAAGGATGCCTATGAGGAGCAGTACCAGCCCATCAAACTTAACAGCAGCTGAAGATTCCTCAGCATCTGGGGGACCTACCAACAAGCTAAGTTCAAGAAACCAGTCGGTCAGATGAATTCCAGCTCTTCTAAAAGCCACAGAGTCATTTTTCATATTTGTATGTTTGATCCTAGCATTACACAACACACCCAGCAGTGGTGAAAGAGGGGGATAATACCCAGAATTTCTGTCTTCATTTTCAAATTCAGCATTACATTCAATTAATTTTTAATGTGGTAAATACTGTTACCATGTGATGCTTTTGAACCTCGCCAGGTTCTCTCTAGTTAAATTTCTAGATCTGACCCACATTCCACATGCTCTAAAATCTGTCTAATTAAACCTGTTGAAGAATACTAGCATCAAACTCAACTGATATGCTGAAGTTGGAAAACTCTGAAAATACAAAGTCTGTGGTGGATTGTTACCATGTGATGCTTTTGAACCTCTCCAGGTTCTCTCTAGTTAAAGTGAACAAATTTCTAGATCTGAACCACATTCCACATGCTCTAAAATCTGTCTAATTAAACCTGTTGAAGAATACTAGCATCAAACTCAACTGATATGCTGAAGTTGGAAAACTCTGAAAATACAAAGTATGTGGTGGACTTTGTATCATAAAATGTTTCATTTCTCAAATATCTGCAATCTCACCCCATGAAAAGTATATATTTCTTTTTATTACTAGAGCTAAAAGGAAGAAAATTAACTTTATGACTTCTAGCATCAGAATGTAATTATTTTATTTATAGAATGACACCACTGTCTCCAAAGCAGGCTCCTTGTGATCCCACAACCAGAAAATATTTGTACAACCATCACTAACGTGAGCTAAGAAAGCAGACTGTGCATGAACATAAGCTTCTAGCTGCCTCAGCAGAAAATTGGGGAGCTACTCCACAGTTACAAAAGGGGCAAATGGCATTTATTTCCCATCCTGAAGTCTATGGCTGTCGTGACAAGTAAACAATTTTCTAATGCTAAACTATACTTTGCTGAGTGATCTAAGCTTCTAATAAAAATTATTCTCAAACACACCAACAAAGGCTTCCCTATGAAGTTTTTTTAAACTGTGTTGCAGCAGTTATGCTAAGCATCTATGCCAGGATCTTTGCTGCTATTATGAGATACTCAAAGGCTAGTGTGCAACTCTGTGAAACAAATACCTTTGTTGTACAGAAAGGAAGAGGGGAGTAAGACCAGAGCAATTTGTAATGGAACAACTCCTCCTTTTTACCATGTCCCAATCTTCAGATTAAAATGCATTTTGCAATACTTGACAGCTTGTCCAGCTCCTCTAGCTGTTTCATCCAAAACCTCTCCACTAGATAGAAGTTTTAACAGGCTGCTCTCATGATTTCCAAGTAGAATTACAGTGAGAAAATTTAAAATATACTAGAAATAGCAACAGGAGTAGGAGTAGATACAGCTGGCATAACCAGGCACAACTACTGTATTTCCAGACAACGGCAGACACACTAATAATAATGCAGTAGTGATTCCTATTAGACACATCAGTCACACATACCTAAACAAATCATAACATTAAAAAATAATATAAAATGTTACATAAAAGAATGACCAATAATGTATATGATTACCAGAAAACTTCCCATTCAGCTACCTTTCCCCAGTTGTCCTTCATTACAGCAGCATTGTGCCACATTTTTAGACCATTCTCTGGATCAAACTTCATTTTAGTAAAAATGATCAGCAGAGCAAGGATTCAAATCTTGAATCAGGCTTTGTTATGACACTGTTAGCTAGTACAGAATATTTAGATCTGAACCAGGGGAATCTGAATCAGGATGAATGCCATGCTGACTAACCTTTCTTTGCACTTGCAAACAGAATTCTGTTTTTAAAATAAAAATGTTAACCTGAAAAAGTTTCCATGATGAAGACAATTACAAAGTACCCAAGGATGAAAAACAGGGTATTTGTTATCATTAGATCACCAATCAGCAGCTTGTGACTCCACTGAAGTTTTTGGATAGCAACATCCATCAGCCCTGCTTGAGGGGCTGGGGAGAGAATTGCTCACTAGGGTTGAGAGGAACTGTAGCCCAAAAACATACAAGCCGTAAGTTACTCATCCCTGCTTCAAGCAGCTGCTAAAATTTCAAAATACACATTTCAAAATACTCTAGGAACTGATACTCACTATGATAAAACTCAGGAGTTTGCACACACGGGAGTGAGGGGGGGGGAGAAATGAAATGTTTCTTAGGTGGGTAATGGCAAAAGAAATAGAGCCACAAAGAGGGCACTGAGAAACAAGAACTGAAGAAGTCAACTTAAAAGAAAGAAATCTAAGGCTGCAAACTACTCAGAAGGTAGCCCAAAAGGGTCTGAACAACTAACAATAAGCATTCATTGCAAATAAAAAAAATTGAAAACAAAGATAGACACAACTCCCTATAGAAAAGTAGCTGGCTTAAGCCTGAAGAAACATGAGAATACATGACAAGTTTTTATAGCCTGCTGCATTACTTCTCCACTATATAAAGTATCCTCACAAAATAACAAGGATGGCCATAAATATTAAAACTGCTTTCAACCAAGATATTCTGTCCTTGGTTGCAGAAACTGCATATGAGGCATTTTTTTACTAACCACTTACCTTCATCTGCCATTCTGACCATTTCAGTTTTAAATCCACCTATGTGTTTATGTATATTCAAGAACATTTTAGACAGTGGAGCTCAAAACAAAATATTTGTTAATATTCACCACTGTCCTACTAAGAGTATGATACTCTGAGAGGCCACTTCACTTTAGTAGCACATGCAAGCATACTCAAGGATACCTCAAACATTGCAGACATCCGGAATCACTTCTATATACTAATTATTATGCATGTAGACATGAGAAAACTACACACGTATGTATCATGTATACAACTACCTCAAAAACAAAATACCATAGCTTTCCTGTGACCAAAAGAACTGTATACGTTAACAATTTTTATGTAACAATCTGAATGCATGTTGTACTCTAACATTTTCACACAGGTACTTAATGTAAAGATGTTTTATCCTTCATATTAGCTCTGATAAATACACACTACTATTAACCACAATATCACCTATCTAGATCTTCCCTGCTCCTACAGCCACCATCATTAGAGGCTAGACATTTTTATTTTACCCACAAGAATGCACTCAAAAGGAGGGAGTCCACAGCTGATCCAAGTTTTCCAATACTTTTTTAAAAACTATAATGTTCCCCCTACAAACACCCTAAAAAATGCTAGTGGGAAGAACTGTTCCCCAAAACAGCTAAATAACAGAATAAGGGAAAATTCTGACAAATTGTAGGAAGGCTTAAAGGAAGGAGTAGCAGGTAAAATAATAGAATAAAGCAACTGAAGGGAACAGACATAGAGATAAAAGGGCAGAACGAGCCCTCTTACTGCCTGAATAGATCCATTCCTTTTCCACACGGAAAAGCTACAGTATTTTAAATTGACCCAAGATATGGCATGAACATCACTTCAGAATTCAAAGAGTTAAATGGTCTTGGAATAGGTGAACAGCTTCCCACCCCCACCCCCTGAAAAACTGATGAGTGGCTAGAGCTCTGGACAAAAGCAATGCACACTGCAGCAGCCTGTTGTAGCCCCCCTCTCTTATTCTCTAACAAACAAAAGCAGTGATCCTGCACTGAGAGCCTGAGAATATGACCCTATACCAAAATATTTAAAAAAAACAAATTTGGCTTGAAATGAAGTCTGTGGAACAGGAAACACATGAAGAAACAGAAGATCTGAGCAGCCACCTCCACTGCCTAAACAACAGAAAGTCTTGTGGCATATTAGCAACTTTTATTTCGCATGAGCTTTCATGGACGGCAGCCCACTTCTTCAGATGAAATTCCACTGCCTCAAGACCAAGCAAGAGCTCTTCCGTTTTCATACCTGAACAAATACATCAACACACATGATGATGGTGGTGAAAAGGGGTGGGTAGGAACACCTGAGTACTACCCTGCTCTCCTGAAAATAAGCCCTAGCCTGAGAATAAGCCTTAGTATGATTTTTCAGGATGCTCGTAATACCCCTACCCCAAAAATAAGCCCCAGTGAAGTAAAACTCCACCCTCCACCATTGTGCAGCAACCAGAAGATGACATGACTGTTACTGAATAAATGTAGACTGCTGTACATGAAAAAAAATTAAACATCCCCTGAAAATAAGCCCTAATGCGTATTTTGGAGCAAAAATTAATATAACAGTCTGTCTTATTTTCAGGGAAACACGGCATAAAAATCCAGCTACCTATCCCCCTTTTCTTTAACTGATCCTGCCTCTTTTAAGGGGATCTCCCCACCTATGTATACACAGAGATACCTTCCCTTTCCACACTCAAAAAACAGAACCGAAGGCGTCTCTACAGACACCACTGCTGGAAGAATTCCTCAACTGCACCCCCATTACGTCCCCCTCGTCCACACGCTCCCTACCCAACCCCACGCAACACCCTCACACACCCCTAACGCTAACTTCGCGCGCCAGCGTGTCTCCCCTTTTCTCTGGTGTGTCTCTCCCGCCACATTGTGTGACCTGCACAGAGGGAGAAGACGACCAAGGTCAGATCCCTGTCAGGGAAAGGAATGGACCCCTCCGTTACCTGAGTGGGTCGCCCGCCTCCCCGGCGCGCATGCGCCACTGGAACGCGCTAGGCCACGCCTCCTTCCTATCACGCACGCGCCGTCTCCCTCCATCGGTCCGTTCCCTCCCACTAATGTTTTCCCAATGCTAGTTCCTGCCCTGAAGTAAAGTAGGTTGTTCGCGGGAAAACGTGGGAGGTACGTCAAACGAAGCTAGGAAGGGCATAAGAGAAAAGAAGGCTTGGAAGAGAAGGCTCCTGTCTAAATCGTCTCGGCGTTTCCCAACATTAAAAATAGTAGGCGGTTGTCATTCTCACCGTTCACTCCTGTGTGTTTATTCTACGAACTTAATCTCGGAAAGCAGTCCCGTTGCACAGAACGAGGTTTACTCCACAGTGGAGGTGCAATAGGATCGAGCTACGCTGTGTACGCAAATTGTAACATTTTCTCACAGAAATTAGCCCAGTTAAATCTTTTTTCCTACTAATAAATGTTTGTACCAAGAGCTTCGAAAGAAGTACGGATGTGTGTGTGTGATCTACGTCAAGTTATAACCCGTTTACAGGGTTTTCAAGGTTAGAGATTTAAAGAGTTGTTTTACCACTTCCATACACACATCCTCCTGAGTTTCCGTAGTAAAGCAGGTCTTACTACACCACAGCGATACAACTCCCCAAATTATTTGATTTGTGATTTTTTTAAAAAAAAATAAACTTTTACAAAGGCTGGATTGCCTACCTGCAGTTGCACTACAGGAGAGATGACTGCCCTTGAACATCTTCAATTTTTCAGGCAAACGTAAGTGTGCAAAATCCATTGTCTAACAGAAAAACAGAGCAATGAACCAGGGCCGGCATGTTTTGAAATACTGTGCTCATCATGCAGGCCTGGTCTTGCTGTAGCAGAGTGGGACAAGAACCAGCACTGGGGGTTTGTCTTGTTTTCCAGCAGATCTGCAGGAATTACCTAGAATGGCTGTCCTATTGGCACCTGCCCAGCTCATATTCCTGGATTTTCTGCAGATCGAGAAAATGCCCTGCCTGACTCTATTTGTTAACTCTGAAAAAGGCAAGAATCTTAGAAGCAGCTTTTGCCTTTCTGGGTCCAGCCCAGGACCTTGGCAAAGCCACAAACTTCACTTGGTCAGTTGTGCTGCTCACACATGACATGGGGGGATCCTGACCAAAGCGAATGTGAGTTTGCCTGTTCATGGACCCCATGCTTCCTATTCTCGCCAGTAAAGACAAAGCTGTCTTTTAGAAGACAGGGTGGAATAAAGACTATGGAGTAGTGACTGATTAGTGTTGAACTGGGTTTTGGGAGGACCAGATTGAAATTCTCATTGACCCATTAAACTTACTTGGTGATCTGGGACCTGTCTGTCACAACCTGACCTCACAGGAGTGTCCTGAACATAAAGTGGGTAGGAGCAGGACCATGCACTCTGATTTCATCTCTGGAGAAAAGGCAAAGTATCACCGTGAAAATAATATTCCTCAGTAACTACCCTGTTTCCCCGAAAATAAGCCCTAGTATGATTTTTCAGGATGCTTGTAATATAAGCTGTACCAGTGGGCAGCAACCAGAAGATGACATGACTGTATTTGAATAAATGTAGATTGTATTTGAATAAATGTAGACTGCATTTGAATAAATGTAAAACATCCCTTGAAAATAAGTCCTAATACGTTTTCTGAAGCACAAATTACAGTAATATAAGACCCTGCCTTATTTTTGGGGAAACACGGTATTACTCTGAACATAAACATATATGCAGCCCAGACCTGTGCATTTTTATGAGAAAACACCTCCCTCCATATTCAGTGGTAATTACTCCACAAGTAAAGTGTGAAGACCTGAACCATTCAAGATGATAGAATACTGTACATATTAATTTTACAAGTGAATTATAGGATTACATATTTTTTAAAAAATATTGGTTTCAGTAGGATTTGCACTCCGGTATGCATATAACATAAACCTTAACATATGCTTTAGGTCAGGGCATGATCATGTGTGTGGCTTAGTCGTTTGTGGAGTGCTTTCCGTTAAAAGCACCGGCTGAAATGCCCTGGTCTATTCTGAGTGAGCGCCTCCGAAACTGAGATTTCCGACTGAGTAAACAGCTAACATGGCCTAGCATCTCACTACGTATTTAAAACCTGAACACCAACAATAATTCCCTTTGTAAAAGTTCGGGCGAGCTGTTCTGCCATTCTCATAGTCCCGTGTCCCACGCATCAAAGCCCACTAACTTCCACGTGAATTTGCAATGTTATCCATAGTAATATATTTTGGCTCACTTCGGTGTAAACGCCTAAACAGGGCGCCCAGCGTGAGGCCTGGCAATACAGTCGAAGCTCTTGCAGCTGGTATTTGAAGACAGGGACCCCCGTACAAGCGGTGCCCGGTGGCTGGACGCGGGAATCGAGCTCTTGATCAGCAGCCGCCCTTCCCTCTCGGCGACACCCGCTCTCCCGTCGCCCTGTGGCCCGTCCTCGTTTAGCCAAAGCGGAACTGTCCGGAAAGGGGATCCGGTTCTCCCGCACGGCGCCGGGAGGGCTCGGCCGGGGCGCTGAGGCTTCAACCTCATCGGGCAAGGACGGAAGTCAACGAGCAGGAGGCCGTCCGGGGTTTGACGCCGCGGTGGGACGGGGGAGGGGAGCGGCTCCGCCCGGAAACAAGAGGCCTCGTGATCGCTGGGCAGAGTCGGGCGCTTTGCTCCCGAGACCGGAGGGCGAGGGCTGTCCGAGTCCGCGGCCGCTGCCGAGCCGGAGAAATCGTTTGGTTCGCGCCAGCCAGCCGGCCAGCTGGGGCTCTTGGAGAAAGGGAGAGGAGACCGTCTCTTCCCTGGAGGCGTGACAGGAGGGGCAGCAAAGGGAAGGAAGCTGTCGTGACTGGGACGGGAGCCGGAGCGAGGAGGGCAGCTGCGAGCAGATGGGGTGAGGCGCAGCCGGGACAAGACCGTCGGAAGTGGGCGCCCCGTAGAACCCCGGGGACCGTAACCTCGGGCGCTTCGGGGGAAAGCTGGAGCCGGGGGGGGGGG